TATGTCTTTGAATCTTCAGCTGATGCTTCAGAGTGGTAAATCACGTTATAAGCTAACTTGCCGCTTGATAAAACATCTCTCCAAAATCTGTCAAAATGATTTGACTTGGATACAAACCGCTACATAGTCTGTTGGGTGTTTTGTTTTTTTTAAGCATTCCTTAAACAGTCTAGCCTCTGCAAACACATGCTTTGACTGACTGCAGCAATCATTGATGTGTGTAGCAACCTTGTAGTCCTGATTTGACCCTATTGAGCTGCATGTGTTACTGCTTTGAGCAATTGTGTAGTTTGGTTATTTGCATATGGAACGGAGGTCTGAACGTATCTCTCCATGGTGTAATCACTATCAGTAAGGGAGTAATCAGTGGAGTACTAATAAGAATTTGTTCATTCATCAATTATAAATATTTAAACAGTGTTAACCTTTTATAATTGTACTTCCTTGCAGCATCCTAGAGGCATGAACAGATCAGGAGCCCAATTCTTACTGTCAGTTTATTAAGCATAAACAGTGCACCTGAAAGTACAAAACAGAGGCACTGTGCCTGCTCTGGTTGCTTTGTTCTGTTGTACATAAAAGCAGTCTCAAGAGGTGTAATATTTATTGGAAAGCCCAGATACCTATAAGCAAAATGATAATTTTGGGACAGCATTTACAAAATGATTGTATGTAATAGGTGGTAGCACCACTCTGCATGGCACTGGGTAGGCCTCAACTGGGTTATTGTGTACAGTTCTGGACATGATATTTTATGAAGGAGATAGGAAACACTGAAGAGGATCCAAAGACAAATGACAAGGATGCTAAAAGGGTTAGAATACTAGCTGTGACAGGAAACATTGAAAAAGCTAGTTATTTTTAGAATGGAGAAAAAGAGATTGAGGTAGCAATTTTCAAATATTTGAAGGATACAAAAAAGGAAGAGAAGCGTTGTTCTTCATTGCTCAGAAGGCAGGATGTGAGTGGGTTTAAATTGCTCCAAAGAAGAGATAAATAAAATCTCAGGAAAAAAAATCCTAACTAGGAGGAACAGAACAGTGGGACAAGCTGCCTAGGGAAGCTGTGGGGTTATTGGAGGTTTTCAGGAAGAGGCCAGATAGCATTTGTCATAGTTTTAGGATTAGTGTATCCTACAATGCTGGGGATTGGATGAGACGAGCTGGGGGAGCAACTTTGTGGCAAGTGTACTAAAAGGTAAGCCCTGAATTCTCCCCAAGTGTCACTCCAATCTCCTTCACTTGCCCGGTATGTTGGTCTGCTTTCTGCATCCTGCTCCCAGCTCTGTGCTCCCTACCCAGTCTCTTCCTCTGCTTTCTGCTCCCGGCCCTATTTGCCATTGTGTTTCCCTGCTTCTTCCCTGATCTGCCACACATCGCACACACACAGACAACCTGTACCATTTGTAGTATGTGTACCCTGAGTTTGCCTGCCCTATACTAGACCCTGTGAATTCCTTCCAATCATATGATTCTCCCATGTGAACAAGTTAAAGTAGCCTGAAAAAAATTATTTTTCATGGATCTTGGTAAAAGATGCCTTTATATATGGGTTTGCAAACTTTTATGTAGCGAAGGCAATTTGTTCTTATTTGTTAACACTTAAATGGCTCCCCTATTCTTTATGTATCATTGTTTTTGTTTCAAATTTCATCCATTTTAAAATAATCTCTGTGCCCACCCATGCTTCAGATTATTTTTATTGTGGTTAACAGGCTTCTTTTTCTGCTTGATCTTTATATCTGATAAATGAGCTCCTCATTAAAGGAAGGTATTTGGATGACCTAAAATACTGATTTTTACATTAAGCCATAAACTGATCTCTTATTCGCTTACCATAATTAACTAAGTGGGTACTGATAGTAAATTGTAGGGAGCCTTACATTTTTGCAGGGAATTTTAATAAAATGGGGCAGATGAAAATTTGAGACTTTCAAACAAAATCTTTATTAGGTTGGCACAAGTGTCATCTTAAAGCTGGTGGAAAATTGCCATTTTGGTTCCCTGGGAAATTAAAATATTTTGACATTTGTTTTCATTGCAAGCTGAGGCAAAAGTTCTTGCACTGAATATTTTGCAGAACAGACTGTTATGAAAATTGTTCTTAAAGACAGTATCTTTTTACTCTTCCTCATGCCTATATCATCAGGCTGTTTTGTAAAATGGGGAATATATGAACAGGAGTCCGATCCCTTCTTCATGTTTCTCATGGGTCAGTCAGCAGAATTGCTGTGTGAATAATACAGCAAGTCCTACTGCCATGCCCCTCCATCTAAAATGAGACACAGCTCTTGTACCATTCTGACATCAAACTTTCAGTGCTTCTTAATACAACACATTAGGAAGCTTGCCAACTTCTTGGTCCTCTTAAATCCCCTAGGTAGAGTATATAGCCCTACTTGATAGCGTGCCTAAAGAAAATTCTCACCTGAAATTACAGCATTCTATCAAACTAGACAATTTGTTTCATATTTCTCAGTTACTTTATTTCATTTCTATTTTTATAATAAAGTATCTTTTTATTTAGTTTATGAATACAGCCATTACTATTCATTTCCCCTAGTTTTCTCAAGTTACAATTCTACCTTGATGATTTTTTATGTAACAAGAATCTTAAATGAGGAGTAAATGTTAAATACGAGTTAAAAAAGCAAACGAGATACAAGCAAACCTTAGAGGCTCGGACCTTACCAGTTGTTAGGACATAAGGCTAAGAGCTGAGGCAGAAGATGAAATCCTGGCTTCTTTTTAAGAGTGAATGACATGGTTTGGGATTTGACTGAGGGAAACTAACTTGTTTTGGGCCTAATAATGAAAGAAAACAACCAAAATTAAAGATAAAAATAAACAACTTTCAGGAAGGTAGAAACATAGGATCCAAGAGAGAACTAAATAAACAAAACAACTTGATTAGTGCAGAGATGAGATGAAAAGTGTTAAAAGAGCCCATTGTCCAAATACTTGAACAGCAACCAGAGCACATACTATGTTTAACAAAGAAACAAATTATGGGGTAATTCTGTTAACTTGACTCCCTTTAGATATGTTGTCTCTTGTATTTAAGTATACACATAATAAGGATTAATTTGAAGAAGAGCCTTCTAAATTGATCTGGGACATGGTTTGCTTTTAACATCGTTAGATAACAAGTTAAAAGTATTATTAATTGCTTGTTTTATCATTTAGAGGCTATATTTCAGAGCCAGATTACACTGTCAAGTGCCATGCAAGAAAATTAATCCTAACGTTTTTCTGTGCACTAAAAGCTATGGATGTTTTGGAGTAAGATCTTATGCAAGAGTCCACGAAAGCATGAATTTGTCTCCCCAGTTAACTATATATTGAATTGTTTTTAAGCATTTGAACTGCTTTTTGCTGCAAGATAATTCTTTTATAATAGTACATATATAGTGTGTTTTTAGTGTGTGTGTGTGTGTGTGTGTGTGTGTGTGTGTGTGTGTGTACATACATACATATACGTATAGATATAATATACACACATGTACGTGTATATACATATATACGTGTGTATATAAATATACGTATACATGTGTGTGTGTGTGTGTGTGTGTGTGTGTGTGTGTGTGTGTATATATTATACATACACATACATAGACACATGTACATACATATATGTATGTATGTATGTGTACACACACATACACACTCCCCTCTCCTTTGAGTATGTGAGTATGGATCCTACTGTCTGAATGTGTCTTTGCTCATGGGAGAGGACTCTTTTGAGTACCAGGGTGTATAGAGGTTGCCTGCATGCCTTGTGCTGTCTCATTCTCCATCACAATGTTATAAAGGCTGGCAGCTGCCATCTTTCCCAGTTCCCTCTTATAGCCAATGGTAACAAGACAGAGCCCAGCTAGTAGCTATCTGACCTCGCAGTTGGTTTTGGTAAATATTCTTCAGATTGTATAACATCCTTCAGAACTTCTAATTTTTCCCCACTAACTTCTGTTAACTGAACATAACTACCTATCTGCACAGTGCATTGATGTCCAGCCCCTGTGCCCTGGGGATCATACATGAAACTTTCTGTTGCCATCTATCGATGAACTGAAAGTACTAGAAGAAGATGAATGAGCAGATATCTTTTGCGTGAACAACACCCCTTATATCGCAGACTTTGTGCTGGTTTAGCTTCATTTATGTTTTGGATGCAAGGGCAGTGAAATGTTTGTCCTCGGGGCATGAAACAAGGGATGTAATTTGTACTTAGTGTGCCATGAATGAAAAAATAACTCTAATCAGGACCTTATTCATGATGTGCTGGGACAGTTTAACAATAAACCTGAGTAGACTCTGTTAAGAGTCTCTTTCTTATCCTACACTCATTGCATCCTATACACCTGCCAGATCTTAGGCGTAACTGAAGAGAGCTGTTGTTATGAGACACAGTCCAGACGAGGCAACAGTGGTCAGGTTCCTCCTGCTCAGTGAAGTCATCAGTATCTCAGTTCTTAATCATTGTGCTATGTGTATGAGTTCAGCTCAGCATTATAGATGAAGGTTATGTGGTACTGAGAAATGGGGACATAGCAGCAGGGTGCACCATAGCCAGCAATCTGAGAGTTATTGTTGGCAGTCCCTTGATATACTGGAAGACTGTCCTCATATAGAGGAGTTATCGGTGAATCCAGAGATGGTTGAGCATACCAATCCAAGATTCAGGTATGTGATGGATTAGGTAGGTTATGGTAATGTGCTTAAATTCTTCTAGACTGACTGAACTGAGATGCATGACAAGACAGGTTCATGGCTGGAGATAATACCATAGGAACAATTCTAAAATGCCAGGATAGGCTCTTTACATAGAAGTGAGGCATCACTTTTCCTCCTCTGTGCAAAGATAAACCTGCTGCTGGGATGTGAGTAATCTCTGACAATAAACCATGATAAGACTTCAGTGGACTGAAGGTAAAAGTGTGGTGTCAGACAGATGCATGTCCACTGT